TGATAACAGTTGTGTGAGCCCCTAATAAAATGTTTTTTAAAAAATCCAGAGAGAAGGGGCATTACATTCTCCAGCGGAATGGTAGGGGATGCCGGAATAGCTACGGCCAGTGTTTGTGTCCAGTGCAGTGACCACTAAGGTGCATCCATGTGGTTACACGCTGGGCTGCTAACCCCAAGGTCAGCAGTTTGAAAGCACTGGCCACTCCGCGGGAGAAAGATGAGGCTTTCTACTCTTCTGGGAAACCCACACAGGGGCAGTTCTACTCTGTCCTTTAGGGTCATTATAAGTCTGAATCAACTCCGTGCCAGAGACCTTTATAGAATCCCAGCGTCTCCCGCGGAGGTGGGGGCTCCAGAGGAGGTGGGGGAGGACGCAGGCCGTTTCGGTCGGTGGCGTGGGGCTGAGCTGGGCCCTCGGGACCCGGTGAGCAGGCCGCAACTGCCTCTTTCTGGAAGGAGCTGGCCGGCCAGCCTGAGCACTCCCAGTGCTAAGTGTCTCCGAGGAGTGGGCTGAGTATGGCAGGCTGGGAGGACCCATGTGGGGAGCACGCAGTACTGGGCTGGCTACTAGAGAGGGACATGGGACCCATTCCCAGGCCCTAGGGGGCAGCAGGTGACAGGGCTGGCGTCCCCAAGCTCAGAGAGGCTCAGTACTTGCAGGCAGGAAGACAGTGTCTGACCACTCACTCTGGTACCCTAAGAGGGACCCCAGACATGCTCCCCCCTCCCCCCTGCTGTCGTGTTTGAAAGTGGGGTGCAACTGAACAGAGGGAACCGTTTCTAACCCAGTTAGTTCCTGGCTAGTCTACGGTTAGTGAGGCGGCTCCCCCGGGTCTTTATGGGCTCGGCTGGCTGGGCTGCAGGGGGCTCCAGTCACCCGCCTGCGGGTCATGGGTGGTTTGATGCCCACAAGCTGCCTCTGACTCACAGCTGCCACACTGGGCATAGTGGAACTGGCCCACGGGGCTTGCTAGGCTTTGATCTTTTGGAGAGTGGCCTGCCAGGCCTTTTCTCCAGGGACCTGCTGGGTGGATTTGAACCGCCGCCCTTTCTGTTGGCTGAGCGCCCAGACTCGGTCTTCCATGCCTGCGCCCTGGCTGATCTGGTCTTAACCTATGATGCGCTTCTTTGCCCGGTGCGCAGGTGAAAGTCGGACACCGAATAAAGAATAGCCCGAAAAGACGCGTTTGAATGACGGTGTGGGCGAAGACTATTGAAAGCACACGGGCTGCCGAGAGAACAGACACGAGTGCGTGGAGCAAGCACTGCCAGCGGGCTCCTAGGGGCCAGGAGACCAGTCCCCGGAGGAGGGCATGCTCGGGAAAGCAGAGGGGCAGTGAAAAGGAGGAAGACCCTCGAGGAGATGGATGGACGCCGGGCTGCAGCCATGGGCTCGGACCGATGAACCGTTGTGGGGACTGGTGCAGGACCAGACGGTGGGAACCTACAGGTGGCACCGGGCACAGCAGAGAGGATGACGTTCTGTGTTTCTGGGCTGCACGGGGGCGTTCACCCCCACGAAGACGGCTGAGGGGAGAAGCGCGCCGAGGGAAGGAATTGCAAAGGGGCACGACACAGATGGGTGTGAGCAACAGCCCTGAGCTTTGGGAGGGCGAGCCAGGGTACTGCCGACATCTGCACACACGGGCACACACGCGTCACATGCTGCACACGCATAAATACACGTATGCACACACACGCGCACTGAGTTAGACTCCGCAGACTGGTTTCTGCAGTTCCTGCCATCGTTTCCTGGGGGAGGGAGGGGCGGGAAGCCGACACCACGGGAAGCAGAGGAAGAAAGGCCTGTGTAGCAGCCACCCTGGGGGAAGGGTCCTCCCGCTTCAGGGGGACTGAGAGGTCCTGTGACTCAGGAGTGCGGGAGCCGGCGCGGTGGGGCCAGTACACGCACCTGGGCGACAGGACGGGGCTGCTGTTACCTGTGGTGAGGCGGGCACGGGCTGGGCCCCCGGACCCGGGGCTGCCGCCGACGGACGCAGAGCCACGGATGCTGGCGACTCGGATCCGCCCTCTGAGTTCTGCATGCTCTGCTCTAGAGAGAGGTGGAGAGAGGTTGAGCGGATGGGCTCGTGCCGGGACACCCACGGAGGAACAGCCAATGGAGACCAGGTGTGGCCTGGGGACGGGAGCTTAGGGGGTGGGCTTCCAGCACCATGTGTGTCTCAGAGTACACTGGCTCCGTAGCGCTCTCCAGAGCTAACTTCTGGAAGCGATCGCCAGGCCTTTCTTCTGAGGCGCCTCCGGGTGGATCTGAATGGACAGCCTTTCAGTTCGTAGCGGCGTGCTTACCATGTGCACTACCAGCGTCTTCCCATAGCTTACCCGCAGAAACCCTGGGGATGCTGGGTAAGTTGGGAGGGGAGGGTGATAGGTTGCAACACAGGTCCATAGAAAAAGACGTGGGGAGGCAGGGCAGAGAGCAGCAGCAGTAACAAAGACTCTGGGGACTACTGTACTGCACAAATTGTGTCTCTCCTCAGCAGGATGCTGGCCACATCCTTGACAACCCTTCCGCCTCTCCCCCAATTTCCAGCCTTATCAGCTTAACTCTTCTTGGATTGTTTGCTCAATTTGTCACTCATTTAATCCAGCAATGGGAAAACCCTCGACTTATATTTACAAAGCACCTTGGGCTGCTAGCCGCATGGTCAGCAGTTCGAACCCACCAGCTGGTCCAAGGGAGAAAGCTGAGGCTCTCTGTTCCCATAGAGACGGACACCCTTGGAAACCTCCGGGGCCAGTTCTACTCTATCCTATGGGGACGATTCGAGGTGGAGTCGACTCCGTGGCAGAGTTTGGTTCGGGTTTTTGAGTTTACTGCTCAGAGGACAAGTGAATTCTCTGCAGACAGGGATTCTCATCCCCAGCATTGCCGACATGGCCCTTCTCTGGGGGCGGGTGGTCGTGCACATGGTCAAGTGCCGAGCGGCCTCCCTGGTCTCCACCCACTGGGTGCGTTTCTCAAAAACAAACAGACCAACAAAAAAGAAACTGATGACCATCAAGTCTATTCTGACCCTGGAGCCCTACGGACAGGGCAGGACTGTCCCTGTGGGTTGACAGGGCTGCTCTCCAGGAGCAGCTGGTGGCTTTGAACTGCTGACCTTGTAGCTGGAAGCTCAGTGGGTAACCACCACGCCACTCCTGGGTACAGACCACTAGTGCAGCGGTTCTCAACCTGTGGGTCATGACTCCTTTGGGGGTTGGACGACCCTTTCACAGGGGTCACCCGATTCATAACAGTAGCAAAATTATGGTTATGAAGTAGTAACGAAAATAATGTGATGGTTGGGGGGGTCACCACAACATGAGGAACTGTATGAAAGGGTGGCGGCATGAGGGGGGTTGAGAACCAGTTTTAGCTGCTGCTACTAGGAGAGGCGGCTTCTCCAGCGCAGCACCTCCCAGCTCCTGCCTCTAGGGGGCACAGCAAGCACACCCCACATGTGGAGGCGGCAGGGTGACCTCAACGCACACACTTCTTGTGAGACTTTCTATCTGTCCATCTGCTGCCCCAAAGTTCCCACCTCTAAGAATAAATGAAGTCTGGAAATGTCTTCTTTCCCCTTTAACTTGAAAAAAAAACCACACCCCCAAACAGATAACAGATGAAAACAATTTCTTGCGGAAAGCAGACAGGTGTGTGTGTGTGTGTGTGTGTGTGTGTTTGAATCTGAGCGTGTTGGTTTAATCCCTTCTTTATTGGAGGGAGATAGTCCCTGAGATCCCTCCCCTTGACCCCAGGTTTCTCCTCCCCCCTGAGGGCCACCAGCCCATGCCTGTCCCAGCTGAGCCCAACTCTGATCTGGTGGACCACAGATGTCCCCAGAGCCACATGGAGGACGGCTGAGGCAGCACAGAGAGGTGACTGGACTTTTGGGGTCTCCAGTGCTCTGCGCTCTCTGCCCATTTGACAGAACTGACCATTGGAATGATGAAGGGGTTCCCAAAGGTGTGTGGGAAAATGGAATGAAAGGATCCCGGAATTTCCCTCAACTCTTTGAAGCCCCTTCGTCTTTTTCTGGGTGTTTCTTATTCAAAGCCTCTTGTTTAAGAACAACAACAACAAAAGTCAACATCACTCACTGCCATGGAGTTGATTCCGACTCACAGTGACCCTACAGGACAGGGGAGAGCTGCCCCTGAGGGTTTTTGAGACCGTAACTCTTTACAGGAGTAGAAAGCCTCATCTTTCTCCTAAGGAGAGGCTGGTGGACTTGAACTGCTGACCTAGTGGTTAGCAGCCCGACACATAACCACTGCACCAGCAGGGCTCTGTCTAAAGGATCAGACGGGTGAGTGCACAGCAGATGGCGACACCGGGCTCCTGCTGGAAGGCAGGAGCGAGCAAACAGTGGGACGGAAAGCTTTGGGAAAGAGGGGGCCACGAATGATAGAGGGAGAGGCTGACTCAGCAGAGGAGGCCCGTTTCTTCTGTTCCTTAATCCGAGGGCAGAGCTCAGTTGGCCCCCAAGTCTCACCCTTCCTAAAAGAGGAGGCCATGGGGGATGTGGGGGACACAGTGTGGTGCCATCCAGAATCCACCACATGGAGGGTTCAGGTCAGCACGCCACCCCGTCCCCATGCTCTCTACCATGTGCTAAGCAGCCTGGCTAGCAGGCTCAGTGCAGGCCAGGGGCAGCACACGCTGCGGGGAGAGACCGGTAGCGCACCGCTGGGCACGAGGACCAGATGGATGAAGCCCGTGGGCAGCACAGGGGGAAAGCACGTTGCGCTCCAGACGACAGACCAAAAGGCTGGCGGTTCAAATGCACCCAGTAAAGTGACCAAGAGGCCGCCCTGCAAGACTCACGTGGAGTGCAGTTCTACTCCGCACACTAGGGCGCGCCGTGATGGGGAATTGCCTTGATGGAATGGAATGGACCACAATTAGCCCCAGTGGTGGGTTAGAACCACGGGCCCTGCTGTCCCCGACCGCAAAGGTGGTGACTGTTACTGGCGTCCAGTAGGGGCAGACTCACAGCGACCGATGTACAACAGAACGACACACCGCCCGGTCCTGCACCATCCTCACAATAGTCCTTGTGAGGGAGGCCATGCTTGCAGCCACGGTGTCCGTCTGTGCCACCCTTGAGGCCCGTCCTCTCTTTCGCTGCCCCTCTACTTGACCGAGCATGATGGCCTTTACCGGGGCTGCTCTCTCCTGACAACCTGTCCAAAGTACCTGAGACGAAGTCCCGCCATCCTTGTCTCTAAGGAGCACTCTGCCTGTCCTTCTTCCAACACAAACTTGTCTGTTCTCTTGGCAGTCCCCGATGCTGTTAATATTCCCCTCCGGCACATAATTGGGACGCATCGATTCTCCTTTTTCCATGTCCAACTCTGACGTGCACATGAAAGGAATGAAACATACCCTGGCTCGGGTCAGGCACACCTTAGTCCTCCCAGTGGCACACCCTGCTCTTCAGCTCTTTAACACGCTGTGCAGCCCACGTACCGATGCCACGCATTGGCCCATCTCTGGCCCGCTGCACAGACAGCCCTGGCTCACAGGTAAAGGCGGATCGTGGCTGAATTCCAATGGAACTTAATTTCCAAAATCAGGGAGTGGGACAGGTGCGGCCCGTGGGGCCCTGGTCTCTGCACTGTCGTGCCGTGGCTCTGGAAGGTGCCCTCCCGAGGTGGATCCAGGAGGGGCCACCAGCATCACAAGGAGGCAGCCGGAGCTGTTCGAGTTTGCAGACAAACCCAGAGGCTCGAGACCCTTTGGTCTGAGATGACAGTGGGAAGACTCCTGAAGCTCAGGGAGTCCTGAGTGACATCAGCTCCTCACAGCCTAGCAGCCCCAGGGCCAGACGTTGGGAGGCCAACGCACACACCCGTTCAGGGCACGCAGATGGAGACAGTGGGTGCTACCTGAGGGGCTGGGGGTTCACACCCGCCTATAGGCTCCACAGAATAATGTCCTGGCCGTGTGCTCCCATAATGATGCCAGTCTAGGAAACCCCATGGGGCAATTCTACCTCAATGGGACCTAGAGACAGACAGACAGACAGCGGAAGGCCTCTTAGGGGTAAGCCTGGTCTGCTCTCGGTCATTTTGATAGAAGAATCTCGCAAAAACATCAGCGAGGATGCAGCGTGGAATGACTTCATTGTCCACCTTGATCTGCTATTTATGGGACACCGGGACCCACCAGAGGGTGTGAACCGCCGACCTCACAGCCAGCAGTCCCGCAGCACCCCCGGGCAACGGCATTAGCATTGGGCCATTGTACGCATTGGGGAGGCATTGCACTTGTGTGCACTAGGGATTGTGTGCTTTAGACGTGTGGTCAGGAGAGACCAGTCCCTGGAGTAGGACCTCAGGCTGGGTAACGCAGGACAGCCACCAAGAGGAAGACCCTCGACAGGACGGATGGACACGATGCCGGCAGCAGTGGTTTCAAACACAAGAACGATTGTGAGGATGGCGCAGGACCCTTGCCAAGCTTCCTTCTGTCGCCACGGGGTCGCCGTGAGTCGGGACGGACTCCATGCTACCCAACAACAGGGACACATCGATGGAGAGAGCCTCACTCGCCGGCGCCAGGAAATTTGGAAGACGGCCACTCGGCCAACCGACAGGAAGAGATCCATCGTTGTACCCATTCCACAGGGAGATGACTCGACAGGGCTTGTGCACAATCATGGAACAACATCACGACGGCCGTGCACAAGTGAGACTTTGCTGGAGATGAGGAGAAGATGGCTGCGGCCACCGTCGACAGGGATGCCGGTCGCATTCAGGAGAGGACACAGGATGAGGGCGGTCCTTGCTGACGGCCATGGGTCTCGGCTGAGCGCAGAGAACACGGGAAAGATGCCTGCTTGTGTTTCATGGACTATGCGCGGTGTTTGGTTGTGGGGATCATCACAGATGATGGGGGACAGCGCGGAGGAGGACTCCCAGGGCGTCTCACTGCACCCAAGCGGAACCTGCATGTGGACCACGAGGGTCGCTGGCACAGAACAAGAGGATGCCGCGTGCGTGGTTTAAACATCAAGAAAGACGTGCGTTGGGG